GTCTGACTGTGAGTGTAAATGTGACACGTAAGACAAACGCAATATTTTAGGTCTTTCATTGACTCTTTTGTGGGCGCTGACGTCAGACGCGTACTCTTTTGTATCAGCCATTCACGACGGCTTAACCTCGGCCCGGCTCTCCGGCGGCCCCTCGGGGTCCCGATGACCCGATCCCCTAATCTTCTGCCGGGAGGGACGCACTGAATGAACACTGCCTTTTTTGTAGTTCGCTTGTTGACTTGCAAAATGCACGGCGAGGCCTAGGCAATGTCGCCAAACGTCACTTGGACGACGTGTCAGTCACCCGCTCTAACTTGCATGTCATCTGACTACTTTTTCAGATTGTTTTGTGTGTACCACAGACAGCACAAATACACCGTGTATCACACACAGCATATTTGGCACACACCAACATCATGTGTACACCATTCACGGCTTACAGAATGTCCATACCCAATACAGCATATACATCAAAGTAAACAACGCACCTTTCGAATTTGTGCAGTTTGTTGCCTATATAGTAGACCATTCGAGCACATATACAAGATGTAGCTCATATTGGATACATAGTATTTATACCATAGCTCGAATAGGACATACTGTCGACACATTCTCCACATCCATTGTTTGGTACACGACACTTTGTATAATGTGCATATGCCTTACGATGATGCTCCTGATGCGTGTTTGCTTTCATGCACGGCGAGGCCTAGGCAATGTCGCCAAACGTCACTTGGACGACGTGTCAGTCACCCGCTCTGACTTGCATGTAATCTGACTACTTTTTCGGATTGTCTTGTGTGTACCACAGAGAGCACAGATACACCGTGTATCACACATAGCATATTTGGCACACACCTACATCATGTGAACACCATTCACAGCTTACAGAATGTCCATACCCAATACAGCAGTGATTCCCAACCTTTATTGAGCCAAGGCACATTTTTTTTAAGTTTGAAAAATCGCACGGCACACCAACAACAAAATTGTCACAAAAAGAGAATATATTTGTCAGTTTCCTACTTTTTACCATCTAACAGAAAGTCATTTATTTGTTCTTGCTGTCACTGTAAATTGCTGGCATAGATAACCGGACAAAGATACATTATTTGTTGTTAATAAATCGTTTTCTTACCAATTACGTGAATTTTGGTTCGTTCCCGCGGCACACCGTTAGAGCTCTCGCGGCACACTAATGTGCCACGGCACACTGGTTGGGAATCACTGCAATACAGCATATACATCAAAGTAAACAACGCACCTTTCGAATTTGTGCAGTTTGTTGCCTATATAGTAGACCATTCGAGCACATATACAAGATGTAGCTCATATTGGATACATAGTATTTATACCATAGCTCGAATAGGACATACTGTCGACACATTCTCCACATCCATTGTTTGGTACACGACACTTTGTATAATGTGCATATGCCTTACGATGTATAGCTACCGATGCGTGTTTGCATTTGGGAGGAAAAACATCAACAACATGGCAGATTTCATGACCTCCGTGACCAGACTAAATGCCCGCTTGCGTTTGCTGTCACACACACAATAAAAAAAATTAACAGTGACTGCCCTGTGACATTATGAATATGCTGGACTTGTTAAGCTCTACGATCAGTGTTTGTGACCATACACCCTTGCACTTTCATCGATGCAACCTTAGATAGTCGTTTTCATTCGTAGTAGTAGTTCCTCCCACGTCATATCAAGTAAGTAAATTGGCTAGATGCAGTGATTCCCAACCTTTATTGAGCCAAGGCACATTTTTTTTAAGTTTGAAAAATCGCACGGCACACCAACAAACAAAATTGTCACAAAAAGAGGATATATTTGTCAGTTTCCTACTTTTTACCATCTAACAGAAAGTCATTTATTTGTTCTTGCTGTCACTGTAAATTGCTGGCATAGATAACCGGACAAAGATACATTATTTGTTGTTAATAAATCGTTTTCTTACCAATTACGTGAATTTTGGTTCGTTCCCGCGGCACACCGTTAGAGCTCTCGCGGCACACTAATGTGCCACGGCACACTGGTTGGGAATCACTGCAATACAGCATATACATCAAAGTAAACAACGCACCTTTCGAATTTGTGCAGTTTGTTGCCTATATAGTAGACCATTCGAGCACATATACAAGATGTAGCTCATATTGGATACATAGTATTTATACCATAGCTCGAATAGGACATACTGTCGACACATTCTCCACATCCATTGTTTGGTACACGACACTTTGTATAATGTGCATATGCCTTACGATGATGCTCCTGATGCGTGTTTGCTTTCGGGAGGAAAAACATCAACAACATGGCAGATTTCATGACCTCCGTGACCAGACTAAATGAGTCGGAGGTCAAAGGTTGGGCCTCAAAGGCGCATGGAGGACATTGAGCTTAAACGCACAAGCGCACAAACACACACGCACGCACGCGCACGCACACACAAGTAAACAAACACACAAACAGAAACACAAAAAACACATACACACGAGTAAACAAAACAAATACGCATATGAAAAGGATAATTTCTTTTATTTTGATGTGATTTGATTTTTTTGGTCCCACAAACTTTTCTTTCCCCCTTCTTCAGTTATTCTTCCAGAAACTTCTGGAAGCTTTAGAAGCTTCTGGTTGTGGGTTGGTGGGATTTGACCAGAAACTCCCATTCGTCCCACACTACCGCCCACCGCTCATGTCCTGCTTCTTGCATTCCTCAATGTTAATAAGTGTGTGTGTGTGTGTGTGTGTGTGTGTGTGTGTGTGTGTGTGTGTGTGTGT